TTCCTCGGGAAATTTCAATTTTTAATTCCAAACCGCTGCCGCAGCCGCTAATAATACGATGTCATGGGCATGGATGCAGCAGGGATGCGGAAAATGGGGGAAAAAAATGGGATCAAAAGGATTCGGGAAGGGGGGGGACGTGGGATCCGACCTCGACTCCCCAGTCCCGGCCCCGTCGCAACAGGGGGCGGGAGGGTTGGCTGAACCCCCCCGACAAGGCGCTGGGAGAGCTGCCGTGCCCCCAGACACTCGGGGCTGGGGAGGGAGGCAACTACCCCATCAAAACACGGGGAGCGGCTGTACCCTTAAACACGGCTCTGGGGACCCGCCGGCGGACGGGGGAAGGACACGGGGGTGCTCTGACCCCTCCGCCCCGAGGCCATCCCCGGCTAGTCAACAGAAAAAGCCGTTTTGCAGCTTTCCCATCCCTCAAAAAGAAAAGAAAGAAGAAAGGAAACTTTTAGCCCGTCTCCCCCTATCAGACAAGAAATGTGGCTTCTTTAAAAAAAAAAAATAAAAAATTAGGCGAAAGCAGCATCGCTCGCTCCGGCAGCGCAGGAGGGGGAAAGAAAATCAGATCAACGCCAAATCCTAGACAGAACAGCCTGGGGATGGAGGGTTTGGTTTTGATTTTTTTTTTTTAAGTCTTTTTTGTTGCTTTGTCCGTTTTTATTCACAAGACTTAGTTTGCTTTTAAATTTCATAACTTATAAGGAAATAGGCGACATTGAAATAAATTAAACACAATAGAGAAGATCGTGCTGCTTTTTTTTTTTACCTCCCCCCCACCCTTTTAAACATGGCTTGGTAGAATAGGCAAACGAAATCGACAGAAAGCCAGGCAAAAAATAGATTCAAAAACTCGTCCCCCAGTGCCTGTCACTCAGCAATCGGCAATGAAACCGAACAATAAAAAAACGCATGAAATGAAACTCTTAGTTTTCTCTCGGCTTTTTGTTTTGTGTTTGGTTTTTTGTTGGGTTTTGTTTTGTTTTTTTTGTTCTCTCGTCTTTTTTTTTTCCTTTACCTTTCGCCCCCGATAAGAAAGAAAACCCAAAGCTGGCTAAAGGCGCTGCGGGTTGGCTAGGGATGCTCCGGTGCGGGGGATCCAGCGCCGACACCGCACCGCGTCCCCGGTGCCCATCGCGGCCAAGGCAGCACGAGGGTGTCCGAAGCGGGCGGCGTAATAATAAATATCTGTGTGAGTGTCTCTTCCAGCGTTTGGTATTCCTGCTCCGAACCACAACAGTTTCCAAGCCTCTCTCCTTCTCAGACTCTCTCTTGACTCGGTAAGTGGAAAGTTTCACTTTGAAGTTCGCTCGTGGCAGGGATTTGCCATACGCTTGTGTGGGATTTTTTTTCTTGTTGGCCGTTGGTTGTTTTAGAGTGAGTTTTTGCTTTGCTTCTTT